CATTGTATTATAATAACTAGACTGCTCCTGAACATTGTATTATAATAACTAGACTGCTCCTGAACATTGTATTATAATAACAAGACTGCTCCTGGCCATCGTAATATAATAACTAGACTGCTCCTGAACATTGTATTATAATAACTAGACTGCTCCTGACCATCGTATTATAATAACTAGACTGCTCCTGAACATCGTATTATAATAACTAGACTGCTCCTGGCCATCGTAATATAATAACTAGACTGCTCCTGAACATTGTATTATAATAACTAGACTGCTCCTGACCATCGTATTATAATAACTAGACTGCTCCTGAACATCGTATTATAATAACTAGACTGCTCCTGAACATTGTATTATAATAACTAGACTGCTCCTGAACATTGTATTATAATAACTAGACTGCTACTGGCCATCGTATTATAATAACTAGACTGCTCCTTGTCGGAGAAAGTTACTCCGAGTTATATGAAATTCAAGGACAAGCGACTCCACACCCGTTTCATGTAGTACCAGCTGTGATACTAATAGTTTATATATCAGCCTTTTATATTAGCCAGCCGGATTCTAAAAGTAAATCCTCTTGTTAATTACGTGTGTTTAATTAGTCTTGTTACCATGGTATTTATAGAGCCAATCACGACATAGTATTTTCATAGACATGGCCAATCACTGATCGTAAGTTTGTCCTTCAAGCTTTCCCGCCTTTTTTCACTCTGTTTTTGTGGGCTATGTTTCCTATGACGTTCGATTTAAGGGTATATAAGAATGAAACACACGCTTCTCGATATGTATTTCTTCAGTTTGTAACTCGTTACTATGTTCCAGCATTCGCTGTTGAATAAACCATTAGTTTATTAGTTTCTTAGACGAATTGCTGTCTCCGTGTCTGACATTTGTATACCCCCGCTCAAGGAGTCCGGTTTTTAACTGCATTCCCCCACATTTCTGGTGCCGAGACGGTCTCTACCAAGCCGGATGCTTTCAGACAACGCATCGACCTACCTGTCCGCTGCCGAGGAGATTCGTGCTCTCGTCGATACACCGGAAATACGCGAATACTTGGCCACACATCGAGTACAGTGGACATTTATACCCAAGAGAGCTCCCTGGTTTGGCGGATTTTGGGAGAGACTCATCGGACTGACCAAAAAACGCAATTAAAAAGACGTTAGGTCGCTCTCTAATTAGTTTTGACGAACTTTCCACAGTTGTAACGGAAATTGAAACCGTACTAAATGACCGCCCATTAACGTATGTATCGTCAAAC